AGAGCTGGGACGCTGGCCCCGGTCTTTATGACACCTCATCACTTCTCAAAATAACAAGGTGCCCTGTCTTCTAAGTAGTGAGGGGGTTCAGTGAGGAGCATCCTGGGCTTGGAGTCAGAAAGACCTCAGTTCAGATCCTGCTGCAAACACTTCCTACTTGTGTGACCCTGGGCCTCAGTTTCCTCATCAGTAAAATGACTGGACTTGATGCCTCCAAGGTCCCTTCCAGTTCTAAATCTGGGATCCTAAGTCAGGACATTGCTGGTGGCTGGTGACTGGATCTGGGCCAGAGCCAGAAGTTCTAGATTCCAGCTCCCTTCTGGCCAGTCTGGTCCTTACAGGTCAGCTGAGCCTTGATCCACCCCCTCTACATGGTAGACCTAAGGAATACTGCCCATTCCTGACTCTTCCTTCCCACGTTCTTCCTGAGTGTCCCCCTCCCACCTCTGTGCTCCAAGTCCTCCCCATCCTCCCCAGGCCCCTCTGCCATGAAGCTCTGCTGCCCTTTCTTTTTTTTTCTTCTTAGGACAAGTTTAATAGAGCTGCAAAACATCAGATGGGCTCGAGCCCAAAGGAGTGACTATGGTACAAACATTGTTAGCACAACATTTGGTCATCAGGAGTGAGAAAGACCCAGCAGGCTCAGCCAGCTAGCTGCTGCCCTGAGGGAGGGAGGAATGAGCTGAATGAACCAGGCCCCATGGGGACAGAGCATGCCCAGCTAGCCCACCCTGTGTGGGCTCCCTCTGTGAAGGCCTTCCAGTTGGAAGCTTGGGGAAGATCAAGCATGTTTGTCCAGCAGACAGTGGCTAGTGAGCTGGCAGACCCTATGGGGGGTGTGGGGGGAGACACCCACAGCAGCAGAGAGCAGCTCAGTTCTGCTTGGAGAAGTATTCCTTACTCCCCTGAACATCGGGCTTGATGGTGTCAGCAGGGCATACTTCACCACGCTTGTCTGTGAACTGGAAGGCCTGGACAAGCCGCAGAGTTTCATCTACAGAGCAGCCCACAGGCAGGTCATTGATGGTGATCTGGTGAGGGATCCCTTTGTCATCAATGATGAAGACCCCCCTGAATGAAATTCCCTCATCTGCCTTTAAGATTCCATAATCTTGAGCCATGGTTTGGGCTCAGACATGGGATATTCATGGCTCCCAGTCCACCATTCTTCTTGACCATGCTGACCCAGGCAAGGTGACAGAACTGTGAATCCACAGAAGCACCAATGACTTGGCAGTTGAGTTTCTTAAACTCTTCAGCTCAATCACTGAATGCAATAATCTCTGTAGGGCACACGAAAGTGAAGTCCGAGGGGCAGAAGAACACCACGATGTATTTTCCTTTGAACTGCCGGTCTGGCATAACAGCTACAGCTCTGAAATTGGGGGCTGGGTACCCAATCTTGGCACTTCCCACCGCCATGCTGACAGTAACTTTGCCCAATATACTGGCTCTTGTGGTCTGCCGGCGGCTTCCCCAATCCCCTGGACTTCTCCCACGTGGTCCAAGATGAGGAGTTCGGTTGGGAAAGGCTCAATTCACCGAGACCGCTGAAATACAGCAGGAGCGCTCTTCCCGGGATGTCTTACCTGGTCCCCTCCGAAGCCTAGATCGAGCCCCACGTTGGGCGCCAAATTGTTAGAAATAGTCTTGACACCAAAAATTTAGTATCAAGAAAATTTATTACCAAGAAAGTCCAGAGGATTTAGACGTTTCTGGCTAGAAGCAGGCTCCACCCCTCTTCAGGAGGGGTGGGCCTCTCCTGCCCTTTCCACCCTACCCTGGTCTCTGCAAACTGGGTCTACAGGCTGAGTAACCACGGGGGGCACTACTAGACAGCCTTCATACCATGAAAGCACTTATTAAACATTTATTGGGCACAAGGTTCTGTTCAAAGATGAAAGTGACACAGGCCCTGCCCTCATGGAGCTTACAGTCTAGCACAGGGGTGGGTAACCTGCAGCCTCGAGGCCACATGTGCTCTCTAGGTCCTCAAGTGCAGCCCTTTGACTGAATCCAAACTTCACAGAACAAATCCGTTTATTAAGGGGACTAGAACTCTGGGGTGGGACAAGACATCACACACAGACATAACCCAGGAAAGGGGGCAGAATGTGATTAGTGCAGAAGATAGGGCTCCAGTTTGAGGAGAAACCTGAAGAGGGAGGAAGTAGAAGGACCTGATCTGGGCCATGGGGAAAGGAAAGGCCTTCAGCAGGAAGATTAGGGGGGTGATGGTGGAAGGAGAACAGCACAATCAAGGGAACAGGGGAAAGGAAGGACAAGACAAGAACAGAGCATGGAGAATGCTGCGGTTTGGATGGAATGTAAAGAACATGGGCTCCCAGGCTTAGATTTAGAACAGAATGACTTCAGTGGCTGCCAGTCCAATCTCCTCGTCAAGGAAACCGAGGCCAAGTGATAGCAAGTGACTTGCCGAGCCTGGCTCTGCTACTTACCATCAGTGTGACTTTGGGCAGAAATTTAATGTTTCTGGGCCTCAGTTTCCTCATTTGCAAAAGGGGGGGGTTGTGTGTGAACCAGATGACCTCTAAGGTCTTCTATCTCTAGTATTTCTACAGCTATTCAGTGTTTGAGACAGGATTAGAATCCAGGTCTCTTAGCATTCTCTCTGCTAGGTCAAGCTGCCTCTCAAGGCAGAAAAACCATGAGAGCATGGCATGTCATGGGAGACAAGGAAAATTTCCCATTAACTTTACAAGCAGGAAACTGAGGCTCCAAGGGGTGATGAAACTAGCACCAGGTCACACAGGCAGTACAGGACATAGGCAGGATTCAAACCCAGGGGGCAAGGACAGTGACCTGGCTTTCTTCTGTACCCCCAAATCATCATGCATAGCAACACCAAAAAGAACAAGTAATAAGAAATGCCCTCTGAACGAAGGGAGCATGCCTCCTTCAGAGACGCTGAAATCCATGGCATATACGTACCTTTGCAGGCGCCGCACCAGGACTTATGGATGATGACCATCAGGGGCAGCCCACTTAGAAAACAAAACAAGCACTCAGTCAGTCGGCTCAGGAGAGATGGAACTGCCACACCTACTGTTCTTTCAGGTGTCTTAAAAATCCTCCCTGGAAATGAGGACGGGACAAACCTCCCTCTTCTCACTAGAGATGGAGGACTAGGGGGAGAGATTGAGGCATACACCGTCACACATGGTCCGTGTGTCCATTTGTTTGGCATAACTGGACTTCCTGGCTATAAGAGAGGGTTCTATTGGTCAGAGAGCAATTGGGAATCAACAAGGGTATCTTTTTTAAAGCATCAACTCATTTTTAACAGAATTTTCCAAGGATATCCTCTTTGCATGCATCTAGATGATTGGACTTGAAGAGGTCCCACCAGGGGAGCACAGGCTCAGGGAGGTCCCACCAGAGTGGACAAACTCTATTTCTGTCCCGAGTCCCACCCTAGCTAAGCTCTCATCACCAGAACAAATGATCACCGGGGAAAGTTTCCAGTTACAGCAACTCCTGAAACTGCCTATGGCTGCACTGCTGTAGGGAAAGCTGACATGTGAAGCAAAAGACCGTTGGCACACTGAAGTGTAACTGATCTCATCCCAAAACCCCATACCCTTCACAGTCTGCTTCTCCCAAAATGACCGATTCCCTCTACCCACAATGTTCCATGAAGTCTAACCTAGGGAAATATTTCTTTTAAAGCATAATTTTTTTAAATTATAAATTTAACAATCAACAAATGTAAATTTTCCAATACACAAAGAACAAAAAAAAGGATTGTATATGAAACAGTGAACTTTCTTTATATGATTTTTTTTTAAAAGCAGGGGTTCTTAATCTGGAGTCTACAAATTTTTAAAAATAATTTGATAACCGTATTTTAATATAATTGGTCTACCTACTATATGCCAGGTACTTTACAAATAATCTCCCTTGGTCTTCACAACAACCCTGAGAGTTAGGTGCCTACATTTTACAGATAAGGAAACTGAGGCAGAGGTTATGTAACTTGCCCCGGGTCACACAATTAGTACATGTCATGGATTTGAATTCAAAGTCTTCCTGTGGAACTCATTGATGTGTCAGGCACTTTCTGGTTCTGGCATGTTAATGATAATTGACATTGACATAATTCTTTTAGATCTAGAAAGTGCTTAGAACCACAGAATACAAAATGTTAAAGCTTAAAAGCCAGAACACATAACAGATGTGAGAAGGACCTTCAAACACAGAAAACTAGTTGGAAGGAAACCTAACTGACCCTCTAATCCAGGGGTTCCTAACCTTTTTTGTGGCCTGGATTCCTCGGGCAGTTTGGTGAAGCCTATGAAACCTTCTCTGAATGTTTTTAAATCCATAAAATAGTAGGATTACAAAGGAAACCAAATATTAAAATGACGATGTTTCCCTCCCCCCTCTAAGTTCACAGACCCCTTGGTTATAAACCCCTGGCTCCAGTCAAACCCCTTCATCTTAGGCCCAGAAAAGACAAGTGACCAGCCCAAGACCATATAGCTCGTGAGCGACTACAGTGGGACCTGAAGTCTCCCATTTCATCGTCCTTTCCACTACACCACCTGCTCAGGTCTATGAAAATTCCACCAACAGGGGCCACTGATCTTTCACAAGGCCACAGTAAACACTGATGTCTAGGATTCTACCTATCATCCCTCTCATTGCAAGACCAATTTCATACTACAAACCAAATCAGTGGATAGAGCACCAACCCCGAAGCCAGGAAGACCTGAGTTCAAATCCAGCCTCAGACCAAATACTTGACACTTACTAGCTGTGTGACCCTGGGCAAGTCACTTAACCCCAACTGCCCAAGAAAACAAAACAAAAAAACACAAATCAAACCAAATCATCAGAATACAGCAAATACGCCATAGACCCTTAGCAACCTGAGAAACTTTTCCTTTCTAATTCAAAGGCCTCTAGGTCCCTTTGATCCTGGTACTACTAGCAATGAATGATTCCAATTAAAAAAAAAAAGACCTTTTATTGCAGCACATCAACAGAAAAACAGAATTCTGCTGGTTTTTAAAAATAGGTTCTTGTCCATTTTGAGTCTTCTCTCTAGTCGCCTCCAGACTGAGAAGGGAAGGTCAGTGTCCAAAAATTTCACTACTCCTAAAAAGAATACAAATGTATCACCGGAGGTCATCCATACAGACCTTTAGGTCTGTTCTCTGAAGAAACACGTATTCAAGCACCACTGTCACTAAGCCCAAACTGGCCACAGTCTGAAGTTGGGTTAATTAAAACTCTCAGCATCTCCTAACAGTCTTATACCACTCGATGCTGGGAGGGAAGGCCAGAGGAACAGGAGGCAGCTGAAGGCTTTTCGATCCTGCCTCCCTGGGCCCCCTCCCCCTCAGTGGAGGCTCTGGCCCAGGTACTGCAAGAACATGTTGGCCAGCTGGGGCAGGTTCTCCTTGTTGGGGTGCATCTTGGTGTATGAGATGAACTGGCGCCTGAGGCGGCTGAGCTCAGCCATAGAGAGGGGGCGAGTGAACAGCAGCCTCTCGGTGGTCCCAGGCAAGGCCAACAAGTCCCCTGGGAGGGCAGTTTTCTGAGCCTCCATCAGGGCCGCCAAGACCTGACTGGTGACCTGATCCAGCTGGTGCAAGAAATTGGTGGAGGACAGAGGCTGTGACTGGGTGGCCTGGTGGGGGGCAGGCACTTGGCTCTCAAAGAGGGCTGCCCACATCTGGGCCAGGGGCAGGGGCTCCTCAGGGCCCAGCACCGTGAAGAGGGGCCGGTCCCATCGATTCCTGGAGTCTGGGGCCTCAAATCGCTGGGCCAAGGCCTCTAAGAGCTCCGGGGGAAAGCCGAGGTCTGGCCCCGGCTCAGGGCTCCCAGGTTCGGGAGACCCCGGCTTCCTGGCCGGCTCAAGCCCCGAATCCTCAGCCGCCCCGGGCCCCACGACCCCAAGGGCCCCGCTCTCTTCTGGGCAGAGTGCCTTCGAACTCGGGGTTCCCTGGAGCCTTGAGGCCGGAGATCCTGGGCCTTCCTCGGAGCCCTCCTCCGGAGGCTCACGGTCCTCCCGGGATCCCCAGCCTGCAGCCCGGGCTCCTGCTCCGCAGCCGCGGCCTTCGGCCTCCAGCTGCCGGTTGCGGCCTCGGCCTGGGGTCGGCAGTCCTCCTGGCGGCCCGGCGCCCGCGGCCGGGGCTTCAGGCAGTAGAGCAGGCAGAGCGGGGTGCGCGCCGCCCGGGCCAGGCAGTAGAGCTCGTAGCGGAAGCCTTTGATGTAGTTGAGCGAGTCGAGGAGGACGACAGACCGGGGGCCCAGGCCGCGCTCCACCGAGGCCTTGAGGGCCGCGCGCAGCGCCTTCTCGCGGGTCGGGTCGGAGTAGGCCTCACACAGCGCCGCCGGCCCGCCGGGCCCGAGCACGTCGGCATCGCGCACGACCGTCACGGGGCGACCCTCGGCCTCCAGCGCCCTCCGGAGCTCGTCGGCGCGCCGGCTTCGGCCGCTGTCCGGCAGCCCGCACAGCACCACCAACGGCATCACTGCCCACAAGACCACTTTCGGGGCCGGCAGCAGCCGCCGGAAACACTACCTAGACTTCCGCCCCACACCCTTTGCCAATCAGTGCTACGTCAGCCAATCAGTGCGCAACTCAGGGGCGGAACCCGGCCAAGCCCCGGTTGCTATGGTAGTGGGGAGGGGCACTCACGTGGGTGAAAAGGAGGTCAAGAGGGCACGGGACCGGGCAGATCAAAAGAGGACTACGTCCCACGAGACGTGGAGGCCGTTATCTGGGGTGGCCGGGCCACGGTGTCCATAAACCCACTCTCTCCTCGCCCCAATCTACAGAACTGTACCCCAAACCACTAATTTTGGTATGGGGAGGGCCGCTTTAATAAACCCCTTTCCAAAGCCTCAATGCGTGCCCCTCCCCCCAACCAGGGACTGGCTCTAAAACTGGTCAGAGGATGTAAAGCTGAAGGAGTCCTCAAACTTCATCGCGTCCGAGCCCCTGTTACAGACGGGAAAACTGAGGCTGGCAAAGGCAGCATTTGAACCCAAGTCCTGGTCCTCTCAACTCAACATCCTGTGCCCCTTCCTTTCCACTTCACTGCCCCTGCAGCGGACCTACAAAATCACAGAACTCAAGACGGGGCAGTGGGCAAGAACAAGGCCCCCGGAAAGTCATCGTCCAGTCTCTGCTTGGAGCAGCTAGGGTGACACACTGCCTCCCCAGGATGGCCATTCCCAGTTGACCTTAGCAACTCTGCCGCTGGCTGCTTTGTCCCTCCCCCACCAGGCCCCTTTCTTCTTAGAGAGTAGAGACTGAGGCCCAGACAGAAAAAATAACCTGCCTAAGGCCAAAGTGGCTAAGGCAAGATTCAAACTAGGTCCTCTTTCCACTAAGCTGAGCTGCCTCAGTGAGACCTCAGGAGGGAGCTTTGGTGTAGGGAAAATAATAATGAAATCTGAACACAAGTCTTGTGTCTCCAAAATCTCTCCATTAGACTGAAGGCCTCGAGGTAGTCTGTGTTTCTGCATTTCTTTATATCTCCAGCACTCAGCATAGTGCCGGGCACATAGCAGGCATTTAATAAATGTTTGTTCATTAACTGCCCCTCTAGAGTTGAGACAGACCAGGACGCCTGTAGGTTGGGCTCACTAGAAAATCACCAAGAACTCAAAACAGCTCACAGGAGCTGGGGCCAGAGTTCATGGAACCCCTTTACTGCCCTTAACTAGGAAACAATGGCCTGTGACTTTAGGGCATCATCAAACAGTCTGACATCCTCAGTACCTGCCGTGATGTTATCAGTGGGAATTCATGACCATCTGCTTGGCCCCTTCACTCTAAGCACCAAAGGACCCTTCCGTCTAACTTCCAGAAGTCTCCTCCCTTAGAACGTGAATCCCTTAAGAACAGGGGACCGGCTTGCTTTTCTCTCTGCAGCCTCAGTTCTTTGCAGATAGGAAGCACTTAATAAATGCCTTTCTGCTCATTTGTGAGTGTGCCACGGCATTAACAAACTGCTAAACTTTTTGTTTTAAGGTCAAGACCTGGGTGATGATGCTTTAAGGAGTCACAGCTAAGGCTTCAAAGACCCTAAGGAAGACGAGGTCTCTAACTCTGGATACCTTCTCAAGACCCTAAAACAGGAGACGGGTTTAGTTCCCAAACACAGAATAGGACACAGAGCCTTCCAAATCCATCTTCAATCCCTTGGCTGTTCCCAGAAGCCTAAATATAAGAGCTTCAGCAGGGACTTGGCTCCTACGACATTCTTTTCTAGCCCAGGACATCCAGAGATTCCCCAAGCCCCTCCCTGGAGGATGAGCAAACATTCTTCTAGTAGCAGATCTCCTTCTTCTGCAGATAGGAGATACGGATGGATTCTGGGGGATTCCTCACCAAAGGGGTGGAAACCCTATTAAGAGGTTATCTTCAAAACAAATTCTTGGTAAAGGATTACAGCCTCACAGGAGGCCAGAACTGGGAAGGGCCTCTGGCGCATCCCTGCTACGACATCCTGCAGACGCCCCTCCTCTGCAGCAACGTCCAGTGAGGAGCTCGCCGCGTTCCAAGGCAGCCTCTTCCTCTAGCTGATGGCTTGGGGCTCTAACTGTTAGAAGGATTTTCCTTAATTGGCTTCACTGTACTCCCCCCCCCCATTCTGCTCTATAGGATCAAGCAGAAGCAGACTGACCCCTTTTATGTATAACAGCCCTTCTTATAGCTGAAGAAAGCTTTCCCGGCCCCCGCCAATCTTCTCTTCTCCGGGCTAACACTCCCAAGCCCTTAGTCTTGGGGTGTGGTTTCCAGGCTTCTCCCCATCCTCATCACTTTGCTTTCCGACAAATCTCTGGACTGTCAGTGTCCTTCCTACAGGGCGGCGTCCAGACCCCAACCCAAAGCTCTGTCTGGGTCTGACAAGGCAGAGCACAGTGGGACCGTCACCTTGCCAGTCTCTCAAAGCAGTCCAGGGCAGCTTTCACTTTCTTGGCCTGAAGTCTCTGGGCTCACTTATATCAAGTCTGCAGTCCACCAAAAAGAGCTTGCTATTAACATGACTTGAGATATAAGCTGCTCATAATAATAATTATAATAGATACCATTTTTATGGCACCTCTTATGTGCCCCGCACTGTGCTAGGTGCTTTACAAATATGATCTGATTTGATCTTCACAACTACCTAAAAGGTAGGTACTGCTATTAGCCCCATTTAACGATTAGGGAACTGAGGCAGACAGAGGTCTGTGACTTACCCAGGGTCATACAGCTAGTAAGTGTCTGAGGCCGGATTTGAAATTAGGTCTTCCTGACTCCAGGCCCAGTGCTCCATCCACTGTACCACCTAGCTGCCTCTAAACTGAAAGCCTGCCCACAGCAGATAAAAATATCAAAATATTACTTCTAGTTTCTACTGCATGAGTTTAACTGATTTTATGCTATACTAATTTCACAAATGAGTCAGCTTTTCCTCTTAAAGTTACAAGTTAAAGTATCATCTCCAAAAGTCTACTGTCCATTCTGGCCTGTCCTTGTACAATTAGGGAGGATCTTATCTCCCTACAAATCCTTCTAGGCCCCATGGAGTTGCTAACTCTGGTCCATTAATAAGGTCTTCAAGATGCTGATGGGTCCCATAAAACAATTAATAATCCCTGACTTGTCAGAGAGGGTCTCTGTCCATCCTCTAACCCATCATATTGTCTTCCCTATCTACCCAACTCTGTACTCCCCAAAACTATATGAAGGCTGGTGACCCCACCTCGGGGTCTCTGGTCATTAAGAAGCCACTGACCCAATTTATCAGTCACCGCTCACCTAATAAATTGATCACGCTCAGATATTGTCTCTCAGTGTATCTGCATTGTCAAAGGTAACACAGAGCACCTATATTCTTTGCCTCCCTCCCCTCCTGGTCTCCTTGTGGTCACCTCTTCCTGACTCCTACAGGGCCCATGCTAACCAATCTGATCCAGTTCAGAAGTCCTGGGCAATCATTCAGCTCCATCTCTGCTTTCTTAGAGTCTAAGGCCTTAGACCCTTTCCTGAAATCCGGGTCAAAAGGATCATCAGTCTGGAGCCAGAAAGAAACACTTAGGTCACACAGCACTTTCCTCTTACAGATTGGGAAGCTGAGGTCCTGGGAAGTGATCTGCCCAGGGTGACGCAGGCGGGAAACATCAGACCCAGAATTTGAACTTGGATTCTTGGACTCAAACCAGAGTCCTTTCCACCGTCCCACACCACCACCCCCGTCCCTCTGGAAGGCACATCCTTCGTTTTCTAATAAAACCACCTGTAGAGATTCCACCTACCTGGCAGCTGCCTCACTCTTTCCATCTTCTAGTGCTCTCCAGTGAATGTGATCCCCAAAACCTGGAAAGACAAAGGCTTAAAATAACTTTTCCATCGTGAAAAGCCAGCAGGAGGCTGACATCAACATGATCACAGGGGTCTACAAAGTGCCACATGAGACCCTATTGTCATCCGGTAGGCAGATTACTGCTGTCCCTTCGTGGATAAAGACATTAAGGCTCATGGTAGCAATAAAGCACAGCCTGGGTCACAGAGCCAGTGGGCTGGGGAAGAGCCAGGGTTGGCATCATGGTCCTGTTCAGGCTGGAGAGTGCCCAGCAAAGGAGGACAACCAGGGCAATGATGGGCTTCAAGTCTAAGTCCTACGAGGACAGCTGAAGGAACTGGGATGTTGTTTAGCCTAGAGAAGAGAAAACTGGGGACGGATGAGCAGGGATAGCTGGCCTCAGCCATCCAAAGGGAGGAGGGATTAGATTTTTTTTTCTATTTGAGCCAGAAGCAAAGGGACATTTTGCAAAGTTGCAAAAGAGGCAGATGCAGGTTTGGTTTAGGAACTTGCTAACCATAAGCATTATCCCAGAGTGGAATGGGCTAACTCTAGAAGTGGTGAGCTCCCTATTCCTGGAGGTCTTCAACCAGGGGATGGCTGCCCACTTGTAGAGGAAACCCCCATTCAGGGACAAGATGCATCACAAGGCTGCCAAGGTCCCGCCCTGCTCAGAGACGCTGCGACTGTCCCCAGCCATGTCCTTTCTGACTTCAAGCTGAAAATTCCCTGAAGCTAGGAGAGCAGTTTCACACATGTCTCGGTCTCCTCTGGGCTACCTATGGTGCTCCACGGGACGGCTGGTCAAGGGGTACTGCTGCACTTCTGTCTTTGTAACCTCAGTGCCTAGCACAGGACCTGGCACGTCGTAGGTACCTGATAAAACCGTTGTGGATAATTGAGTTTTCTCTGCCATGTCAGCCTTTATCTATGAAAGCTTAAAACCAGGACTAAAACTAAGACTTCTGGGATAGCCTACATGGATGCCGGCTATTATTAAAATGAGGAAAGTAAGAAAGCAAGGAAAGAAAGATGTCCTCCACTGGGCAAGCCATCCAGATGTCAAATATTCCTTTTTTTTTGCCCCCCCCAAGAGTAGATTCTACATAACTGTCCCATCTCCCTCAATCCGCCCTGACCCTGCCCGAGAAAATTCCAAAGAAAAGCTATGGACCTCTCTCCCCAAAACACAGAGTAGCACTCGATGAGCCCTGGGCTCCCTTCAAGC